GGGGGGGCAACACTCAGCCCCGACTGAACCCCAACACTGCGACGCCGCAAGCACACGGGGAAGACAGCGGAGCTCTCCTGCAGCACCCTGGGTGTGCAGCCAGTCACCTGCACAGGGCTGGGCCCTGGTTCATCCCAACAGGTCACAAAGATGATTTTCTCTTTTTTTGTCCCAGGGAATGTTTTCTCATTGCGGGGCTACACTGCTGCTTTTCCCAGGGAGGAAAGGCGGTTTCCTTTCTTGGTGCCCCTCCTCGAAACCACTCTGCTCCTTATCCCATCAACCTGGCAGGCACCCCTCTGGGATAACTAGGTCTGCCAGAGGCCATGGCTGCAGTGACAGCACATCCCCTGAGCCCCAGCAGACCTCTTGAGCCAGGGAGGCCACACTGCTCCAGAAGACGCAAGCCTTGGACATGGCTTGTTACCTTCTCCCCCACTCCAGCCTGTCCCTTGAGCACAGGAGGGCTTCACCCAACATCTGCAGCTGCTCCAACACCTCTCGCTGCATCTCCATGGCCATGTGGTGCACGTGGTGATTGAAGCTGTTGTACATCACCGCATTCTGGAACATCAGCATGAGGTCACGCTGGAACTGGGCCATGGACTGAATGTGTCCCTTTGACAGTCTTCTCTTTATACTGGTTAAATCCATGGGTCTATAAAACATAGATAGAAGGAAAATTAAGTTGCAACCCAGGTATTCTTCAGGCTCTGCATGAACATGCTTATTCTTGTTGCAGCATGGCCCCAAAACCACAGCTATTTTCAATCAATTTTATTGCTCAGGACAAAGAGGAGGAGTGAGAAATGTTTTTCTTCTAAGTCAGACGAGTAAGTTTGGCCAATGCGACACTTGCTGTCCAATCAACTTGGCAGGTCATTAGCAGTCACCTCTAAAAAAAATTTGATGTTGAGCTCCAGAGAAGGCAAGCGGAGTGATTGTAGTAATTAGTCTTCATGAAGTCAGTCCAGGTCTTAGTGGAGAAAGAGAAGTTACTAAAATAGGTGTCTATTAAAACCCCTTAAAATCGAATGGTGCCACTAGCAAAAATAGCAGTGCTAATAAGGGGAACATGATGGAGAATAAATATTACTTCCCTTATTTTGACAGAATGAGAAAATGAATGGCTGTAGAGACGACAACTGTGACCAGAATAGAATATGATTCAGCTCTAAAAAATGCCCTTAATCTCTCTGGGAAATATTCTTATGACCCAGTTCTCCACTGAGAGTAAAACAACTTGAGAGCAAGTAGTGGATGAGGAGAGGGTATTGACTGAGGCATACGCTTCCAGCATGGGGAACTGCTGAACTGCAGAAGCTGAATCCCTGTTCAGGCAGGGTTTACAGCTGCACGGACTGTGCCTGGAGTAAGTCAGCCATGCAATACCAGCAAAGGGCAGGCACAATTCCTATCAGCACCACAGTCACTGCAAGTTTCCAAGTTCTAATCACCCAGAAGGGAGTTTTAATAAAAGAAATCAGTGGGAGATGCTGGTGACAGCCAAACTCTGGAAAAGGCGGAAGGAAAACATCCCACTGACCCTTTGGAAACCAGAGAAGACAGAAAAAAATGGAGAGAAATCAACCAGTGAGCACTTTCTCCACAAACTCACCTCTTCACCACATCCCGGTATCCAGGGGCTTGTTTCTCTGACACTGCCTTCAGGAATGGGCCACTGTATCTACAGGGACAAGCACAAAGAATGATCTCTGTCTGCATCTCTGCTAAAGACACGGCAACACAGGCTAGAGCTTGCCTCTCCCTGCTTGCTATGAGGGCCACAGCCGATTAGGAACAGCCAGTATTTGGTGGCTGGCATGACTAGGCATGGGAGGAGGCTGAGTCCCTCGCTGAAGCTGGCTCTGCCAGCTGTGTAGGAAGCAACATTTGGGCTCCACCACATTAAGCAGAGGAAATAAATATGCAGTGTTCTCTCCAGCTTTGTAGCATGCAGCTTTTTTTGCTGTGAGGACAGCCAGAAGCAAAGCCATGGAGAGACAAGCCAGCCTGTTGGTGGCTGTCATGGAGGGGAGGACATGGCTTGGTCACACAGGAGCTGGAAGTCAGGGCAATGTGTTCAAGAGCCATGTCAATCCAACCCTTCTCCCCCACATACCTGTGACTGACTACCATCTTCCAGATGGACAACAGAGTTCTTTTGAAGAGAAAATGCTGCAGGGGGTTATCCCAGTTCAGCTGCACCCTGTGGAGTGAATATATTGCAAATCATCACACTTGAGACAAAGTAGGAGGTGGCAGTTCTCCTAGCACCCGCCACATCCAGGTGGATGAAGCGCAAAGATCCTCTGCTGTAGCTACGCAAAACCTCTCAGGGTGGGATGGTGGAAGTGTTCTACATCTGAATGCACAGCTAAACATCCAGAATGCAGGAAGGTGCTGGAAAATAGGCAGAAACAAGATCTGAGCTGAGCAGCTCTAAAGGCCAGGACCAAGTTGGATAGAAAATCTCATGCTACTCTTAAGTTCAGAAATTCACTGAGGTGGTTTTTATTCAGTTCTCATTCCAAGAAACTATGGTTTTCCTTGGAAAGGCCAGGTGATCACACATGTGGCAGAGCCTGCATGTGACTGACATGCCTGCACCTATCTGAAGGGGGCTGGTAATGCCCCTCTTACGAGCTGGACTGGACATTGCCTGACAAAGCATGACACCCAGCTCACACAAGGCCTTGAGGAAACATGTATTTTCTATCTAATCTCTACTCTTCTCACTTCAGCCTAGGATCAATGCCCCAAAATTCTGGCAGATCCACAGAGACAGCACAAGTTACCTCCTTTTCTTCTATGTTCCTTGGCTATTTCACCTTCCTGGATGTGACCTGTGCCATATGCTTGTCCTCAAGTGAAACAAGGGAAACAACTCTGTTCTGCTGTGCCTGCAAGAAAGCAGGAACTACTTACAGCTGCGTGTTGGCAGGGCTTGTGGGGTTCAGCACTGGGGCTGCAGAGGTGCTATCACTATCATCTTGATCCTGCGCCTGATTACTCATCTCCTGTGGATGCAGCTCACTTAAAGCTTGTTCTCCAGGTGTCTCTTGAGTCTTGTCCTGAAGAGCACAGAGGAAAAGAAATATACATTTAAATGGCAGCCCATCACCTGAATCCTTTATCTAGAAGCCAGCATGCTGCACATCCCTTTACTGCATCCAGTCTCATACCTTCACTGTGCTGCCCAGCACTCCAGTGAGAGCTGGGTCTGATCTCTTGGATCATAACCAGCTCTGGCTAACACAAACACTGGAGCTGACTGGTGCCCAGTGTTGTGTCTGTCTGCTTTTCTGGGAAGAGTCATGGATGTGAGAGGGCAATTAGGAGCTGAGGTGAGACTGCCTCAGGCTTGTTAAAGCTCGAGACACAGATAACAGGATCCCCTAGAGTGCAACAAGGTTGTTTCCTCACGAACTCCTACACGAGTATGACAGAGAATAGACTCAGCCAGGAAGGAGAGTGGTGCTGTTAGTATAGTGATTTGCCAATAAAATGTAGAGTGACAGGTGCAGGGAGAGAGGCTCTTTGGAGTCCAGAAGTGGGCTTATGTGCAGAGACACCCAAGAATTCCTCAACAGAAGATCTGAAGCATCGAGCAGACTCCTCAGGAAGAAAGTGGACATTGTGTTGTGTTTGAATTTGACCACTGGAATTAACACGTCCTGACTGAACAGGTACAGTGTGAGAACACTGGAAGTTATTTCTGTCTCTGGTGTCTAAGTTTGCAAGAGAACAAATGTGAGTGTGGAAAAATGGCACTGTTCTTCCACTGCTACATTATCTCGCAGGCTGGTGGGAGCCCACAGCCCCCCTAGACACAGGACTGATGCAAACCCAGGCTAGACAGTGCCTGCTTCCAAGACATGACGGTCTCCAGGGGCAGATGGTTATTGCTATCACAGCCACGTGGGCCTGAAATGAGCCAAACTGTGTGCTGCGTAACACAGCAATTAGAACAAGGCAACTATTCCAGTCTTGCCTTAAACCTGAGAGCAGACTGCCAGATCTCATGAGTCAACTTTACACTGCCAAGGAGCAATTCCTCCAACTCACATATCTGCAACAAGCTTCCTGTTCATAAAGATACATACATAAAAAACATCCTTTCATACATTACTTCTGTATTCTCCTCCCTGCTGTCTCCTCCTCTGTGTCCCTGTCTCTCCACTTGGAACCTGGGACTTCCCTATATCTTCCAGAGTTGATTTCCTTCACTATCTCGTCTCTCATCCAGGACCAGTGGATCTCTTAAGGACCACCTCTCCCCTACCTCTCTTCCTGGGAAATGTTCTTTCTCATCTTCTGCCAGGATGTGTTGTTGACTTTCCTCTGTTCCTGAGACTGCTGTTCTTGTGGTCTTTTCCTGGCACCTCACATCTTCCCCATCACCCTGCTTCCCAGAGCCACAATAATCCCCCTGAGTCTGTGATGACTCTGTGCTGCTAATGCGGAGAGGTTCCATCATCTGGGTTACCTGCAACACAGAAATGTATTGCTTCAAATTGTGGAGGCAAAAGGAAGAACAAATAAGCAGCACAGATGCTATTTTTGCTTTCACTCATGAATGCCTTTCCATTTTTAGGAATCCTTGCAAAATCTTCTGATGAAGCCCTGTGTTATTATTACCATGTCAGTTCACTGACATCTCTGTGCTTTAGGGTGAGCTTGTTTTGGCAAAGCAGCTGCCTGGCTGTGGTGCCAGCTTTAAATGAGAGGAAGGGCTAGGCTTGGGACAGGGAGCAAGTGAACTCCAGGCATCTGCTCCTCCCCCAAACTGTTTCTTTGTGTAAGGATGGTGCAGACCCTGAAAACTAAAATTTTTCAGGATGGCCTGAATTACGCCACCCACCTTCCTGTAATCTAAAGTCCTACCTCTGAGAAGAGCTGGAGAATACTGTCATCTTCACATGGTCTCTCTGCCTTTTGGTAGTCTTCACTATCATCCTCCCAGAGACGCTCACTGAGTTCCAGCTCATGGCCTGCCTCTGGGCTGCTCTTGTCTAGCTTCCCCATGGCCACCTCTTCAGTATTCCTCCAGCTCCTCACGTCCAGATCCAAAACTGAATCCCAGCTGTGAAGAGACTGGAAATCACTGTTCTTCTCTGACTCGCTGGGAGACTCCGTCTCAGACTCCCACCACACCCAGGCATGGCCCACCTGCAAACAAACATAAAGAGAGAGACAGCAATTTCTTTGTACCCTGATCCAGAACTGCAAAGTCCAGCTCATTTCCTGACATACTCAGACAGCCAAAGTATGGGAAGGATTCCGTGAGGCCAGCAGCCTACACCTGAGCCCACACTTCACAGCACGTGACAGGGCTGTAAGCTCTGCAACACAAACTGACATTTTAGAGCAACCGAATTTCAGGTTTTCTCTGTTCTTCCCCTGACCAGGCATCAGTGGGTTACTGTCCTCAGGGGATGCTGAGCTGCTTTGGAGCATGCAGCTTTGTTGGATGCTAGATCTATAAGGTGCTGAAGGCAGCCAGCAGCAAGCTCAAACCAAGTCATGTTGGGGCTCCTGAGCTTGATAGTTGTGAATAACTAATGACTCCAAGGACAACTCACTGAAATTCCCTTTGCTGCCCCTTGAGAAATTTTTATATTGGAAATAACATTACAAATCCTACAGACACTTTGCTTTGAAAGTGACAGATGTGATTTAGGTGGATGGTGATACCTTGTGTATCTATCTGAGCCAGAAGATTTATAAACATGCAGAGTCACACGCTGACAGGGGACAGTTCTTCACATTTAATAAAATAAAAGTTAGCATTCTCTTAAGAAGTAAGAAACCATTAATTTAATTTCTGTTCATTAGCCCATACTGCACAAGTCCACTATGATTTCTCTAAGTCTGGGAAGTTGCATAGAGTCACAGTAACAACAGTAAACAGATGTTTGGTAGAAAAATCTATCTTGCTACTGAATTCAGCTGCATGAATGCTGTACCTATGGAGAATTCTATGCATTAATTAGCAGTGTCCTTAGAGTTTTCAGTTAATTACGTACAACCTAATTTTTCCAGAATTTTGAACAAGCACATTTCTCACTGACTTCCTCTTGCATTCTCAGGACTGCTAGCACAGCTACAAATAAAGCTTATGGTGCATACCTCAGAGAAATAAGGAATCCGTTGGGTTTGGGATGAGAAAACTTGTTTGCTTATTTTATGAATCTAAAAGCAGAGCTAGGATCCGAAAGGCCGTCCTTCTGAAACCTCTTTCAAAGCTAACTTCAGCAGAAGCAGATAAAATTTGATGAGGTAAGAGATAACATTACCTGCTCTTGGCTTCCAGCTGAAGGAGTTGGGCAAACTGTGATATCATCTGAAGAGTAACCCTGTGCCTAAAGTGCTTTCCTGCACCATCAGCGGAGCTGGCCACACACGCAGAACCAGCCACCCGCAGCTCAGCCAAACAGAAAAGCCTTAGCCTAAGGTAATCCAATCACTTGTGATCATCCTTCTGTACTCCAGCTGACAGGGATAAGCATTTAAAAATCAAAAAGCCTAGGGAACTTGGGCATAAGCATCAATTAAAAATTGATCTTCATCAGTCTTCAGCCTTATGTTCAGTTTTACTAAATCTTGGAAGACTCAATATGCCAGAGAGCAGAACAGCAGCATTAGTGCAAGACAAGCGGGATGAGTGAACTAATTACAGACTGCTTAGTGCCACACCAATTCTGTACAAAAAAATAAGGAATAAAATGATCCAGACTTCAACTTTTAATTAAGAACTGCCTGAAAGTTCTTAATTACGTGGGCTACATAAGTCACCAGTAAGGAATCATTATCAAATTGGGAAGTTTTAGTTAGGTTTTCAGAGATCAGACACTGCGCAACCCTTGCTGATACAAGAAAAAGCTGTTAGAAATAAAAAAGACGGCCTTTAAAAGGAACTTACATGTCAAAACAAGAAAAATGATAAAAGCCTGAACTCTAGAAAATGAAATGTAGAATCCACAAAAAATAAAAAACCCAAACAGAAAGAAGAACAATTTGCTAAAGACATAAAAGCAAACAACAAACCTCATCAAAAACATCAGAAGCAGAGAGACGCCAAATGATCAGGGGGATGACACATGATCAGTGCCAAACATCTCAGCGGAAAATAGGGCCAGTTGGAAAAACCAAATTAATCATCACTATCAGCAGTTGCCACAGAGATCACATGAGACTTTCTCTTGGGATGGGTCTGAGAGACTGTTTCTAATTAAAATGTCAACAGAGGAGGTTTTAGAACAATTTGAAGGAGGGACTAAACCTTAAAACCAGTTGAGATTCAATTGCAAGTCCTAAAGAAGCTTAAATATAATGAGACCTACGCCATGTAACCTGTCATTTAAATTAGCCACACCACAAGAAAACCAGAAAGATGTGATTGTTATTATCCATCTATAAAAGGGTGGATAGTTGTGAGATGCAGCACAGTAAGCCTGCACTCTGTCCTAGGCAGACTGAAACAAAGTATTAGGAAGAACAGAATTAGTCGTCAGAACACGAAATGATGAATTAGGAAAGGCAATGGAGCTCTGTGGAAGAAAATTGTATCTTAGATTTTTAAAGATCTTAAACATCATTAAAGGCTATTAAAATGTTATGGGACAAGAGAAAAAACTCTTTGAGGGAAAAATACCTGGTTAAGGGAAGAAACCAAGGGTAGGAACAAACAGCAGTGCTTTTCATAATGAAAGCAAGTTACTAGTGGCCAGGATAAAGGTCCTCCCATGTGCTACAACTTCAATTTTTCAACATGGACAAAGATAGGGCAGAGGTGTTACAGAGGAGACAGAGCCAGACTCTTCTCAGTGGCCAACAGTGAAAGGAGAGGAGGCAGTGATGACAAGCCGCACCAAAAAAAAAAATTCAGACTGGACATAAGGCAAATATTTACTCCATGAGGGTGTGTAAGCACTGAAACAAGTTGTCTATAGGGGTTAGGAAATCTCCATCCTTGGGAGAGGTTTTCTGAACTTGACTAGACAAGGCTCTGAGCAACCTCTGAAGCTGGCCCCGCTTTGAGCAGCAGGTTGGACTAGATAAAACGTTTAGAGGTCCCTTCCAACTTATTATTCCATAAAATACCAGAAACCAAAAGAAAGCTGTAACTCTGTGCTACGAACTTGAACAACCTGTAATCTCTGGAAACTGAGGCTATAAAAATTCAAGTCGGAAATTTATCCCCAACTTCAGTAGTGAAGGAAATTTAACCTAGTAAGCAAACCAAAGGATTCTACATTTCTAGCATCAAATGTAGAGTGAGCCTTGGTGGAAATATACCCAAGCCAAAAATGGGACTCTACAGAGCAGGCACAACCAATTTCAAAACAGAACTTGTGAAAATCGAAGTATGGTAACAATACAATCCTTCTGGTCTTAATCACAACTGTTTCCTACAATCTGTGTTTCAGAAAACTGTACCCTGTACATGCTGCACAAAGAAGCGTAGACCACTCCCAGCTGGTGCAAGCATCAGGAAGGGTAACATTTTGGTTTTTTATTTCCTCCCTGGAAGGTCATGGGGGCAAAAAAATACATAAATTTACTCTCACAGGTTATATGAACAGAAAGTAAGCTGGTAACTTGAAAACTGTCACAGAGAACTTAAACCTAGGTTAAACATCCATGTTGCTGAGGAAAAGAACTGTACTTTCCAGTAAACAGTTCACAAGCTCATATGAAACCAGGTACTAGCATGCCTACAGCTGCTGGAATTACAGATTTTCACTCTTGACTAGTGCACCCTTTACAAATCTCCAGGGGAAGAATTAAAGGTACATTTCAATACAATGGTCTCTTAAGGAAAGCTCTAACAAGACTAATATTTAACTTCTCCTGGTTTTATCTCCTGTTTCATCACAACAGTGCCATATTCTCACACACTCAAGCAGGGTATCTTCCCCTCCATCCAAGCACTATGCAACATTCCCATAATTAACGGATTGTCTCTAATGTCAAAGCTCTGCCGTGCTGGTGTGCTGTAGGGTAACTGGAAGAGAGTTGTATTTGCAGACATTCAAGACAGGTATGCATGCTTGTACAAAAACAGGGTTCCTCACTGCAGAGAACTGTGATGCTCAGGACACTGCACACCGTACACTGGATTTGTTCCCAGACTTTAATATACATACACATTTACACATCACTAGTAAAAATCTGTACACTTCACATTACAGTAATACGAGCCACCAGTTGCTAGCTAACACCAGAACACTGATGAAGCCCAAGACGACTGCCCTAAAACAGGCAGGGGGGCTAGCCTTCCCCTCCAGGGAAGTTTCTTTGGGTTACACATTCTGACGAGACACTGCTTTTCAGAGGGGCAAGCAAAGAAGGTGGGCCAGGTCCCAGAAATGGACCTGCAGCTTTTCTTCCTCCTCCAACAGCTGTTAACAGCATCTTGCTTGTGCTCCAGCTCTGGATGCCAGGTGCTGGGATTTTCTGTCTGCCTGCAGCATCATTTCTTCATCTTCATGTCTGCCTCGATGGCACAGCGACGCCCTCTGGTGCCTCCATCCTAATCACAAGGCAAACAAAGAGAGTTATGCAACCCTAAACACAGAACACTTCCTCCAGCTCTCGGGGAGGTAAGGAATTGTGCATCTGGCAACAACTTTTCATGCCTTCCAAATGGGAGAAAGGGAAGCTGTCCTAAGAAGGCCTGCCTGCAGACCTACCTAAAATTCACTCCGACACAGCACAGGTGCTGGGATTTGCAGCATCTCTGTGCACTGCTGGCAGCCAGGGCAGAGAGAGGCAACAAGGCTCTTGCCCAGACAGATGCTTTTGGAGCCTGTACAGTGCAGGCTTTCTCCTAAGCCGCAGATTCTAGCTTGGCTCTTAAGATGGGAAGAGGAAACTGCTGACTAACCTACCTTATCAGCTGCTGATCCCTACGGGAAGTGCTCCTCCAGTTGAGTGACCCTGGCACTAGCTCCCTAGTTTCTCCGCACAGCTCCTTTCCATGAGCAGAAGGCGAGCTGAGAGCTTCCTTTGATCCGCTGCCCTCTCCCTCTGGCTGACATGCTGACTCTCCCGGAGTACTCCTCTGTCTTTAGATATATGCGAGAGAAAAAAACAACTCTCCATCTTCCTCCCCTCTCTCCTCCCCGCAACTCAGAGACTTGGGGTTTCCCGGAGGGAATATTTTTCCAGACACTTCCAGATCACCACAGGCACAGAGCAAGGTATTTCTGCAGAGCATCTTATTTGCTTTCTGGACCATGAATGATAAAGGAGTACACAGCTGACTCCTCACTTTCCCAAGACCTTTTGTACTGTCTCGAACGTGCAGAAGGGGCAGCTGTATAAGCATGAGAGATGTAGGAACTAAAAGTACTGCACCACTTTGTCTTCCCACTTACATAGAAATAAAGCAGGAGAGAAGTTGTGGAAAAAAGCAAAGGCAGATGACAAAACAAGAACACTTGGAACCAGAAGAAAAGACTGAAGCCCCTCCCACTCACCCACGCTGAGAATAAGGGACCGAGATGTTTCTTCTCTACTG